CACTGATCTCTCATAGCATTATGTCAATACCATGTTGTTTGCTGATGTTTTACACTATAGTTTGGTATCTTCAGGCAAAATATTTCCAATTGCTCTTTACGCAAAATTTTAAATTCTTGTCAATCATCTTCCAAATAAACTTGAGAATATTAACAAATTTATCACAAAATGGATGTGGGTTTTGCTTGGGATTGCATCAAATGTATAGATCTATTTGTAGAGAATCAGTTTGACAGCATTGAGTCATTGCATATGATTTATATCTTGATTTTTAGAAATTCTTATTTTAGTTATCTTCCGTTAAAATTATTTGGTTTTCTTCATGTAGGTTTAACACAGTTCTTTCTTGTCAGGTTTAGTTCTAGAGTTTGTTTCGTTGTTCTGGAATGAATCTATTGACAGGAAAATTTTTCTGGTCTGTTAGGCCAAAAGTGAGGTTTTTTTATTTATTTATTTATTTTTTTGAGACAGAGCCTCGCTTTCTTGCCCAGGCTAGAGTGAGTGCCGTGGCGTCAGCCCAGCTCACAGCAACCTCAAACTCCTGGACTCAAGCGATCCTCCTGCCTCAGCCTCCCAAGTAGCTGGGACTACAGGCACGAGCCACCACGCCCGGCTGATTTATACATATATATATATATATATATACACATATATATATATATTAGTTGGCCAATTAATTTCTTTCTATTTTTATGGTAGAGATGGGGTCTCGCTCAGGCTGGTTTTGAACTCCTGACCTTGAGCAATCCTCCCGCCTTGGCCTCCCAGAGTGCTGGGATCACAGGCGTGAGCCACCGCGCCCGGCCCAATAGCATTTATGATATGATTCCATTTTTTAAAATAAAGAATATATCTACATCTATGGGTAACTGCATATACAGAAAAACTTAGGGTATAATGTTTGATTACTTGGTTGATCTCTTTTAGGGAAGGAACTGTATTTTGATGACTTTGCATCTAACACGTGCTTAGCACCTGGCAAATATTAGTAGCTCAAATTAGTAACTCATCTTCATTAAATGAACGAATGAATGACATAATATCCCTTTATAGGAATGTCAAAGGACCTGCACAGGGAGGCTCATGGGCATCTTTTCTCCGGGCGTACGGAACTTTGGATTTCTTTAAGTTCTTTCTGCTTCCTTGCATTTTCTGATTTTTCTCTTGGAACTTAAAAAAAAACAAAACAGAAAGAAAAAGAATTTCATTTGGCAAATGAAAGCTCACCACGGGGCATACCTCACACACCACTTGTAAGTTTAAACAAGAGGGAAAAAAAAAAATAAATGTACAGACCCTAAGAATAGCCAGGGAGACGGGTTGCTCACCTCTCGGGCTGACTTCCCATTTCGGAGACTCGGTCTTGCGGTCTGCGAAATGGGATTCTTTCCCACCTGCCTTTGCCGCTTGCTCCTCCTCCCGTGCCGTGCCGTGGCGTGCCGTGTGGGGGTCTGCCTGCCCGCAGGGGGGAGACTCCAGGAAGCCTAGCTCTGAGGGGTTCCAGGGAAGCCAGGGAAAGCACTTCTCCAGTCCCTGAGGTTGTTTCCCGCGGTGGTGATGTACGGTGTTAGGGCTCCAAGGCCTTGGTGCGGTTGCAGGGACAGCGGCCCAGGAGGCCCCGAGGGCTGGGAGGGCCACGGGGTCAATAATATAGGCAGCTGGCAAAGGAGGAGACCGACCTCATTTCCTCCAGAGAACAGACGACTGCGGCCGGCAGTCCTGCTTTGCATGTGAATAACGAGCAGAGGCGCGGCAGGGCCGCGTGTGTCAGGGAGGAGAGACACAAGAAGGAGAAAGACAAATTAGAAAAATATGAGGCCGCCACTTATGGATCTGTGCAGGGAAGAGTAATTCACCAGGTTAGTTTTGCTTCCTCAAGAAAGTAGCACAGGCCGGGCGCGGCCTGATCCTAGCCTGTCGTCCCGGCACTCTGGGAGGCGAGAGGCGGGAGGATCGCTGGAGCTCGGGAGTTCGAGACCGGCCTGAGCAAGAGCGAGACCCCGTCTCTACTAAAAAATAGAAAGAAATTAGCCAAACAACTAAAAATAGAAAAAAAAATTAGCCGGGCATGGTGGTGCATGTCTGTAGTCGCAGCTACTCGGGAGGCTGAGCCAGGAGGATCGCTTGAGCCCGGGAGTCTGAGGTTGCTGTGCGCGAGGCTGATGCCAGGACACTCACTCTAGCCCGGGCGACACAGTGAGACTCTGTCTCAAAAAAAAAGCAGCACAGGCCGGGTGCGGTGGCTCACGCCTGTGATCCCAGCACTCAGGGAGGCCGAGGTGGGAGGATTGCTTGAGCTCAGGAGTTTGAGGACAGCCTGAGCAAGAGCGAGACCCCGTCTCTACTATAAATACAAGGAAAATTAATCTGGCCAATCTAAACATATATACCTGCAAAAAACGTAGCCGGAGCCGTGGTGGCTACATGCACTGTAAGTCCCAGCTACTCGCGAGCCTGCAGGCCAGGAGGTCGCCCTTCGAGCCCAGGACCCTGAAACGGTTCCTCTGTACGTGACCGCTGAGGCCACAGGCACTCTACCCAAGGCCACAGAGCAAGGCTCTGTCTCAAAATAAAAAAAAAAAAACCGCAAAGCAGCACAGGTGTATGCTCATACTGTTCGCTATCCTGCGATTACACCTTCTCTCGCGCTCTCTTACTCATGAAATTATCCACTGGTACCCTCCACAACAACCTCTTCTCGTCCGCCAAGACGGAGGTAGACACTCTTGGCCCCCGAAGACCGTCACACCAACCGTCCCGCCTCCGCGCCTGGCCCACAAATGATCTGCAACTGCACCGCTCCCTGGAAGGGGGCTCAGGCGTGCTGTGACGCTGCGGAACCTGTCCAGGTGGAACATGTACCTGGAGTTTCCTTTTTTTAATTCTTTTTTTTTTTTTGAGCCCAAAGTCCACTCTGTGGCCCAGGCTAGAGTGAGTGCCGAGGCGCTCCAGCCTAGCTCACAGCAACCTCAGATACTCCTGCGGGCCTCAACAGCGACTCCTCACTGCCTCGAGCCTCCTGCGCGCTCGCGCATGCGCCACCCACGGCGCCGTAATTTCTATCTCTATATCAGCCATACTCCTCTCTGCGTCAATTACAATCCTTCTTTCTATTTAGTAGTAGAAGACGCTGGGGCGGTCCGCTCTTGCTCAGCGCTGTCCGTCCGACACTCCTGACGCTCGAGCGTATCCGCCCACCGCTTGGCCTCCCGATGCTGGGATACAGGCGTGGAGCCACCGCGCGCCGGCGCGCCTCACTCGGGAGCTTTTATCGCTGGGATTGTTCTCTTCTGACCTCGAGGGTGAGAACAAGCCCCCCGTGCTATTGCAAGCACCTCATCTGTTGTCTGTGGTCCTCTACTGAGTCCACCATCCACAGGCAGGGCCGGGGCCTGCCTCGGTCAGCCCTTGTGTCCCATGCCCAGTGGCGGACCTGGTACATGGAGGAGGGTCGACAAATATTTGATGAAATTTAACTTTGTTTTATTGAAGGTGTTTGGGGGTTGTAGCAAGCTGATGTTCCCCAGGATAAGCGATTGTCATTTGAAGGATTTTATTTACTTTTAAATTAATTTTTTTTTTTTTAGACAGAGTCTTGCTCTGTTGCCCGGGCTACAGTGCCGTGGCGTCAGCCTAGCTCACAGCAACCTCAAACTCCTGGGCTCAAGCGATCCTCCTGCCTCGGCCTCCCAGAGTGCTAGGACTACAGGCGTGAGCCACCGTGCCCGGCTAATTTTTCGCATATATATTTTTAGTTGGCCAATTAACTTCTTTCTATTTTTTAATAGAGATGGGGTCTCGCTCTTGCTCAGGCTGGTCTCGAACTCCTGACCTCCAGCAATCCTCCCGCCTCGGCCTCCCCGAGTGCTAGGATGACAGGCGTGAGCCTCCGCGCCCGGCCTTCACTTGCACACTTTAATTCATTAGAAAGGCACAGAGAAGAAGTGAATCTGCTAAAATTAAATGCGCTTATGCAATAATTCGGTGCACGGATGCAGCACCGGCCGGCACAGGCAGCGCTCGTCTACGCGGCCCCGGGCGCCCGGGGGCGGGGCCTGAGGGGCCTGCGGGGCGTGGCGAGGGCGTGGCCTGCGCGCAGCGCCGGGAGAGCGCTCCCCGATGTACCGCGCAGGGCGGGCTGGGGGCGGGGCCTGCGCTCCCTGACGTACCGTGCGGGGCGGGGCGAGGGGCGGAGCCTGCAGGGGACTCAGAGAGAGAGCTTCCCTATGTACCGCGCGGAGCGGGCTGGGGGCGGGGCCTGTACTCCCTGACGTGCCGCTCGGGGAGGGGGCGAAGGGCGGAGCCTGCAGGGGACTCAGAGTGAAAGCTTCCCGACGTGACGCGCGGGCCTGGGCGAGGGGGCGGGGCCCGAGGGCAGCGCGCGCTTCCCGACGAGCCGCGCAGAGCGGGCGGGCGGAGGGGGCGGAGCCTGCGCGGGCGTGCTCGCGCGCTCGGCGGCCGCGCGGGCGTGCCGGGGGCGGGCTGCGGCGCCGCGGGCGGGCAGGCGCGCGGCTGTCGCGGGGCGCCAGGCTGGCGCCACCTCAGAGGCGCGTCGCGCTCCGGCCTGCGCTCCCAGCCCGCGGCGGCGGCGCGGCGGCGGCGGCATGCGCCGGTGAGATGCGGCGCGGGCAAGCGCGGACGCAGCAGCGCCCCGCGGCGGCGGCGAGGGCGGGCGCGGCCCCGGCGCCGGGCGCGCGCGCATGAGGGCGAGCACGCGGCGCCGGCCGCCGCCCCGCAGGCCACTGGCTCAGGACTCGTCGCGCCGCTGAGGCCGCGCGCGCCATGCAGGCCCGCCGCGCCCGAGCGCGCGCGGCCCCGGCCCGGCCGGCCTCTCCCCCCGGCGCGGCCTCGGCGCCGCCGCGCGCCCCGGAGCTGGCGAGGCTGCGCGAGGAGCAGGAAAAGGTAACAGGCCGCGCCCGCCCGGCCGCCTGTGGCCGCGGCCTCGGGGCCCGCTCCGGCTCCCCCGCGACCCACGCGACCCCTGACCTCCCCCCGACCTCCCGACCTCGCCGGCTTCCGGTCCCGAGGGGGAGCGCGAGTGGGAGAAACTTCAGTCACGTGCTTTTGTTGTCTTCTTTTTTTTGTGTGTGGTCCGGAGCCCTTTGCCCTTTGACCTTAGGGGCGTGGCGGTGGGGGGTTGCAGGAGACGGGGAAGCGCGGCGAGACCACCTGTTCGGCTCGTGCGCCAACGTGAGTTCTCAAACTTGAAGCCCGCGGGGGCGCGCGGGGGCCTTGGCGTTGGGGCGCGCGCCGCAGGTGGGCGTGTTCACCCGGGTCTCCGCCGCTCGGTGCCGCTTGCCCGGCTTTGCTCGAGGCCTGCGGCCCGCGTTGCTCCGCGTGGGCTTGCACCCGAGAGTTTGGCCGCGTTCGTGACCACGTGCTGCTGCGTGTGCAGAACACCGGCTTGGGGTGTTGAGTGCAATGCTGTTTTTTTTTTTTTTTTTAATTGCACAGTGAGTTTTTTTTTTTTTTTTGGGACAGTCTCACTCTGTTGCCCAGGCTAGAGTGAGTGCAGTGGTGTCAGCCTGGCTCACAGCAACCTCAGACTCCTGGGCTCAAGCAATCCTTCTGCCTCAGCCTCCTCCGGAGTAGCTGGGACTACAGGCGTGCGCCACCATGCCCGGCTCATTCTTTTTTTTTTGAGACAGAGTCTCACTCTGTTCCCAGGTTAAGAGTGAGCCGTGGCATCAGCCTCGTCACAGCAACCGTCAGACGCCTGGGCGCCTAAGCCGTCCTCCTCTCAAGCCTCCAAGTAGCTGGGAACCGACAGGCATCACCACCACCTGGCTAAAATTTTACAATATATCTAGTTGCCAAGTTAGGCCAATTAATTTCTTTCTATTTATAGTAGAGACGGGGTCTCGCTCTTGCTCAGGCTGGTTTCGAACTCCTGACCTTGAGCAACCTGCCCCCCTCGACCTCCCAGAGTGCTGGGATTATAGGCATGAGCCACAGAGTCTCACTTTGTTGCCCAGGCTAGAGTGAGTGCCGTGGCGTCAGCCTAGCTCGCAGCAGCCTCCAACTCGTGGGCTCGAGCGATCCTGCTGCTTCAGCCTCCCACCGAGTAGCTGGGACCACAGGCATGCGCCACCATGCCCGGCTCATTTTTTCTATATATATTAGTTGGCCAATTAATTTCTTTCTATTTATAGTAGAGATGGGGGTCTGGCTCTTGCTCAGGCTGGTTTCGAACTCCTGACCTCGAGCAATCCGCCCCCCTCGGCCTCCCAGAGTGCTAGGATGGCAGGCGTGAGCCTCCCTGGCCCGCACAGGCACAGTGAGTTTTAAACTACCAGTGGCGAGGGCAGAAAGTTTTGCATTTCTTAACGGGATTGTCTATTAAAAAAAAAAAGCATAGTAGATTTAAGAAATAGTTGCATTGTTAAATTTGAGACTTTTCCTGTGCCTTCTGTGGAATTTCAGGTTGGCTCTCTTCTCCCGAAGTATCTTTCAAAGTCTTACTTTGAAATGCAGTACTTAATTTCACTTAAAGTGTCTTATGGTGTATTGGGAGAGAGTATCATGGAATAAAAGGGTGAGGAAGTTTCTTCAAAAGTGTAAATAGTTTGAGAGCCCCTGAATTTTTCTAGTCTCCATTCCTGTATAAAATTGGCTACTGACGTGTATATAAATATACTAAATTCAAAGGTACGGGTTTTCATAGAACCTAAAAACCCTGCTTTTTGTTTGGAAACCACCTGTTGGGGTGAACTGTGGGAATCTTTCCTACTTTGTTCTGGTTGGTTTAAATTATTTTGTGCATCGGATTTCCTTTTCTCAGCCGTTTTTCTCTTAATACCACATACCACATTGGATTTTAAACTTGGTGCCCCCTTTTTTTTTCCATTATAAAGGTTTAAAAATTCAAGTAGTTTGGCTTGTTTAAATTATAAGACATTCAGGGATCTTAATTTTTGTTTTAAAGAGAAAAATAGAAAAGGAAAGAAGAAAGAAAAAAAACAGTCCTTCACAAAACCTTGTTGCTCTTGGCAAAACTATCTACGTTTTTTGTTTTTTTTTTTAGAAAATGTGGAGCAGACCCCAGGATGGTGTTTCCATCACCTTTCGTCTGTAGGGGATCTCTTTGCCTCCTTTATAGTATACATGCACCGTGTGCATAGTGCTGGCTTGATGTTTTCTCCCATTTGGCATGTTAGAAAGAGAGATCCTTGGCTTTATTCTGATGTTAGTACTGCTGAAATGCGAAGGATACTTTTGGGGTGCTCTGAACAGCTCTCTGGTGGGGCGTGGAGTTACATCTGAGCTACGGGTGACTGCCTTTTCACTTACAGTCCTGTGGGAAACCAAATAGACTGTTGTCAGCGGACATTGACTATATCGCCAAATTATTTTTCTGTGTCGTGTTAATGTTCATTTGGCACATGAAATAAGCGCGTGCATGTCTATCATCACTATATAAAATTATTCTCCAAGTCGTGATAAAGCCCCTCAGGGGTCCATGGACTAGGTTTATTCAATAGAAGGGGCTGCTTCAGCGGACAGGAGAGACCTGTAAGGCCACAGAATAAACTGGTTAGATAGCTGTACTTTATAGTTTAGTACGGGAACACTTCACGTAGTAAACAGTAAATGAAACACTTTTGTGAGGGACTTTATTCAGGCCTTAAAACCAGCCCCACTGTAGGAGTGCAGTGAAGTCCAGGGAAGTAGAAGCACAGCGATGGTCTGCAGGTAAGAGGGGAAAATGTCCTGGTAGCTTCATGTTTGTGTGCAGCTGCAATTCCTCTATGTAAGTCGAATCAAACATGCTTTTAAGCTCTTTCCTTTTTCCTATCCGGGTTCTCTGAGAGAGAATTAAACGTTGAAGAAAATGATTCTGAATGACGGTTTTGTCAGTTTTCCCTGCGATGGGGCCTAGCTAGTTGGCTCTAGGTGCAGAGAGGGCAACGAAGTCCTTCCTTGCCATGGGCGCCTTTGGCTTAGGGCGCCGTTTTCTCTGGGAACCTTGGTTGAGAGGGGCTGGTGGGTAATGTGGTTTAACTGTGGCTCATCAGTTTTGTTCTTTTTGCAAAAAATTCAGCTAAGGCTATAACAAGTTTTACCTGGGTCCCTCTCTGTCTTTTTTTTTTTTTTTTTTCCCCTTGTTTAGTTTCTGGAGCACTGAATAAAAAGGACAAAAACTGGCAACCTGAGGAAAAGGGCAAACAAGGGGCATGAAGGAGTCGGTCCCAATGAGTGAGGACATCTGTAGCAAACCGACAGGCTCTTTTCACATTGTTTTCACTTTCACTTACAGACTCAATGCTGGAACATTCTCAGAAACTGTTTTTTAGTTAGAACTTTTGGTTTATTTCTTTTTTGATTTAGCAAAAAGGCATGTCAGAAAGGTTTCCTGCGGTTTTATTTATAATAATGTATGTAATTACGTAGGCATTAAAAACTGTAGTATGTATAGTGTGGTTCCAGTTATGTTTACATGTATATAAATATTCACACCATATAGGAAAACACACCGTTGTTTTAAAAACACGTAGTTTTATTTTTCACATTACCTAAAAGTTTGTGAAATGGGATGGGATAGGATTTCAGTTTTTTCAGTAAAGGCTATTGATAAAACGTATGTTAATTAATTTTAACAAAAACTGGGGTGTTGCATTTTAGTTGGTAAGCATACTCTTGAGCCTGAAAAATGGCTGCTTGGAATAATAGGTAGGCAGATTTATGTCTTGGTTACTCTAGAGCTGATAGATACAATTTAGTCAAAACAACCAGCTTACAGTTGATACCCTGTTTCCCCTCAGAGGTTTTGTTTAATCTTAATTCTCTGTCAGAAGATACAGGGAGAGGAGGGAAACTTTTTTTTTGTTTTGTTTGTTTGTTTCCTTTTAACTAACTCTGTTTTTACCAACAGCAGTAAAATATTTGGTGGAAAAATTAAGCCACTTAGGAATGTGTCCAGACCGTGACCTGTGCCATAAATCCTGTGATTGAGGACTGATGGGGAATGGCTTGGGCTGTTCAGTGAGGTTTCCTTCCTAGATCTTGTTAAATCTGGTTCTATCTTAGAATTGCATTATGTTGAAATTTTGGTTTCTTGGCTAACGTGATGTTTCTGGGATGTCTGTGTTTTATATCTCCAGATATTACTATCTTTTATTAGCAGAACTATGGAGATTTTATTGTAATACTAAAAAAAGTGATATATACGATAGTATTTTTTTCATAGGCTTATTTGCAGGATAATAGTAAGATTAGAAATTCATTAGGATAATTTGTTTATTATTGAGTGCCTTGCATAATTCTCATTTGGAATTTTGGAATAGCTTATACTTTCCTGATATAGAACTTAGGGGAATTAAATGCATTAAAAGTAAATATTTTAAATTTTTCATAAAGCAGAACAGCTAATTTAAGTTAATGAAGGGTCTTCATATTTCTTGCGATAAACTAAACTGCAGATAGTTTAAGGAACTGTCAACTATGTAGCCCATATCGCAGCCATTCTCCCAAGCCTAGAATCCAAGGGTATCTCCTGCGTGCCAGGCATGTGCTGCTGAGTGTGCAGAAATGAACGCAATGCAGAAAGCCCTGGCTTTCATGGCACTTACACTCTAGTGGCGAAGACATGCTGTTCGCACATTTAAAATGTCTGGTAGTTTGTGCTATGTAAGGTTAGGTAGAAAAATCAAAACAAGATAAGAAACACCAAAGAAATTAGCACTGACAGCTAACATATTTAGATTTCCTCAGTTTTTCAAAAAATGTCCTTTATAACTATTTTTTTTTTTTTTTTTGAGACACAGTCTCACTCTGTCACCTGGGCTAGAGTGCCGTGGCATCAGCCTAGTTCACAGCAACCTCAAACTCCTGGGCTCAAGCGATCCTCCTGCCTCAGCCTCCCGAATATGTGGGACTCAAGGCGTGTACCACCATGCTTGTCTATGTAACTCTCTTTTTCAGTCCAAGGTTCAGTCAGAGATCACCGTGGCATTTGGCTATTTTATCTCTTTAGTCTTCTTTCATCTAAAATAATCTCCCTGCTGCCTTTTGTCTTTACGGTATTGGCATTTCTGAAGAGTTCAGGTCAGTTGTCTTACAGAATTTTCCACAATTTGGAGGTGTCTAATGAATATAATCAGGAAGAAACAAAGTTTAACATTTTTTCTTGAGAATACTGTATAGATAATCAGGTGCGGTGGCATGCACCTGTAGCCTCAGGTGCTCAAGCT